TGTTACCCTGCTGAAGGACCCTTAATAATAATAATAATAATAATAGCTTGGATTTATATAGAGCCTTTCATGAGACCCAAGGTCGCTTAACAAAGAAGAACAGGGCAAAACAAACATAACAAAAGAAAAGGCAGTCAGACAACCAGTCAGACAGACAAAACAACAAATAGATTAGGGGCCAAAGGCCTTAGTAAACAGATGGGTCTTGAGGGCCCTTTTGAAGGCGTCAAGTGTGGGGATGTTGCGGATCTCCGCAGGGAGAGCGTTCCAGAGGGTGGGGGCTGCCACACTGAAGGCTCTGTCCCCGAAGGTTCGCAGGTTGGTGCGGGGGGTGGTAAGCAGGCCAGAGTCTGAAGACCGCAGGTTCCGGGGTGGGGCATGTGGGTGAAGGATGTCCGATAGGTACTGGGGGGCATGGGCATGGAGGGACTTGTAGGTAAGGAGGAGGACTTTATAAGTTATGCAGGACTTGACTGGCAACCAGTGTAGGTGGATGAGGGTGGGAGTGATGTGCTGCCACAGCTTTGTGTGCGTGAGTACCCTAGCGGCACAGTTTTGAACATACTGGAGTCTGTCCAGGGTTTTGTTGGGAACCCCAAACAGGACACCATTGCAGTAGCCAAGCGGGAGGTGACAAACCCTTGATCGTGATGCATGGGTGCTGTTCTGTGGCTGAATGTGACTCCCTATGCAGTAAGGGTGAAAAAAGAACAGTGAGAAATTGAATAAATAACTTTTCAATGCAATTATATTAGTCTACATTTAAATGTCAATCAGTTATGCTTGAGAAAGAGGTTGTGATGCTTCTCATACCTTTTGGGCTTGTATTAACATCGGTAGCAATTTGCATTTCTTATCATAGATGCAGATGTAGATGCCTTGATAACATTCTAGACTGAAAATAGAAATATAGTTTTTCACTGTAGCTTTGTAGGTTTGTGGCAATATCATAAAATTAAAATAAAATAACTTGGGAAGCTCCTAGAAATACATCTCCTCAAGCTTCAAGTAATGTGTTTGTTCCAGCCGGTGATCTGACCAATCAGGAGCCACTGGCAGCAGGTGTGACTGACGTAACAATAAGAGGCAACCATCAGATCAAGCCATGGCTCCTAAAGAGACTATGGAGATCATACATAAGAACTGAAAAGGTATTTCTTAATTGAAGTAAGAGCTGAGAAAAGCATTGAACTAGCTTTGACAAAAGTCCAATCAACTGCCAATTATTTTTTTGAAAATGGCTGCCCTTTTTGTAATAGATTGGTGCAGGTAAAAGTATTGCTGTAGGCCAGGGGTGTCCAACCTTTTTTGAACCGAGAGCTACTTTTAAAGTTGCCAGTCTGCCGAGATCTACCAGTCCAAATAGAGAGGCATAGCCATTACTGACAGCCTGCTACCACACTTCTACTTGTATAAAACGGACCTTTGTACGATGAATACTTCATAAAATACTGCAGATCCTTTATCTGACCTCTTTCTAATCTACACACATACAAGTATTTAACTGAAGTTACACAACAGTGTTGTTGATACAGAGTTGGAGTTTATTCACACGTCACATACTACAGTGGGTAATGTTTTCAAGAAACATTGAACAGTGCTGCCACATATGACCCAGGGAAAAAAGAAAATACTCTTAACCCTTTCTTTGCCATTATATAAAAATAGTGTTGCTACAAAAGTATAAATGAGGCTTACTAATAAGACAACTCAGATCTGAAGCTACACAGGAATCTGCTGCCAAAGTGCAATAAAAAAGACAAAATTAATAGAATCAAACCTTTTTTTGTTGCATTTTAGTAGAGTATAAAAATAAATGCCTTTAATAGGATGCAAGCAACACTAGTTTCTTAACCTCAATTGATAATAGACTATAATCAATTTAAGTTTGCATTCTTATACCATTTTGTAGAATAATTATAATGAATAAGTTCAAACAAACTAAAACTCACAGCTGATTAATAAAGGTATCTAACTTGAGTTGTTATTATATCAAAAACCTGTTGAAATGCTACTGTTATTTTTACTGTCCCCCAAAAGCGCGTCGGCAGCCTCCAGGAATGCTTCTTTCACAATTTCGCCATCTTTGAAAGACTTCATGTGTTTCGCAAGAACGTGACTGACACGTTAAGATGCTATGGTAGCAGCCTTGCTCTTGTTGTTGGGCCTGGTGAAAATGGACTGCTGTGCTGCATTTAGCCGTCCTTTCAGGCCCCTCCCCTTTTGGAGCGTAGGGCAGAATTAGGAGGGAATTCCGTCTCGTAGCGTTTGTGCACCGTTTTGAAATGCCGCTCCTAAATTACCCTTCTTCGATAAAGCCACGCTCGCATTGCAGATGAGACAGATGGACTTTGAATTGGAATAGATACACAAATAATAATCCTCCCACTCGGAGTGAAAATTATATATTTTGGGCTTATTTTGCTTCTGCCGTAATTGCGGTCTTGTGTGTGTGCGGACTGTCACTCCTGTTGACACGGACAACGTCAGCAGCTAACTAGTGCCCACTGCCCAGCAGCCACGCCCCGACACATGGGGTCACGCCGGCCAATCACAAAGCTTTGATGCGTTCAAGTGCATTATTCTGGCACAGGAAAATTATGTTATAGGACATTAACGATAAAACAGAATATTGTTGTTCTATTTTTAGACACATCTCGCGATCGACTGGAAATCTCCCCGCGATCGACCGGGAGTTCGAATAATAACAAAAAAGCAATAGGATTTTTCCATCGGATTTTGAAAATATTGCAGGAAATAAGCTCTGTGGCAAACACGTTAATGATCATTTCCTGTTTTGTTCAGCAGGATAATCTCTACAAATAAGCACGACTATGTGATTTTTTAAGCGTAAATTCAATCGGCAGAAGTCAAAAGCTAACGTAATGCTATAACAAACAAAATGTGTGTTGCATGACTTCACCAGCGCTTAGCTAAAGGCAGCACATTTTTGGCGGGATGATGTTTAGTTTCTCATTTAGCCACTTGATAGCAACCGCCATTTTTATGACATGTTAAAACTTAGACATTCACCAGTGGAGTGTTTACTGACCTATTTTATATTGTAAAACGAAACATGAAAATGACCTTATTTGGGGAGTCTAACTAAAAATTCATTTAAAAAAAAAAAAACCTATTGACTTGATATGAGGGAGCCCAGAAGTGCTAAAACCCTAACGGAGCGTCCACACTACAGCTTAAAAAAAAGCTTGGAGCTGGGCGTGTCTGAAGCTTGGGGATTTTATTCGAGCAACGCGACCAACAACCAATCACATGAATCTCCCGCCCCCGACATACAAAGCAAAAAACCCCGGGGATTTTATGCGAGCAATATATATATATATATATATAAACTCCCCAAACAGGCGAAAACCTACCAGTTTCACCCACTGTCTCTGCCACCTCCCTCCATGACTGGTTCTTCCGGTTTGTATCCCGGTAGGTGAAGAGGGTCTGGTCATACAAAACCGGGTGATGTGCTACGGCGATAATTAGTTTCTCCTCCATCTTTTTTTGAAATATAGAAATCAACGGCGGGATATCTCTCCCAGCTTAGACGCGGTTTGATTGGCTAGCGCTTGAGCTGTCAGATTTTCAGAAACGGGATTTGATTGGCTGGCGCTGGCTACTCCGGCGTCTCCGGCGGAGACGGACCGCTATGCTACCCACAATTCAGTTCGGCGAAAAGCGAGGCAACGTGACGTCACCCCATTCAAAGTGAATGGGCAGTCGCGTTGGAAACTGTTTTTGAAGCTGTCGACGCTGTAGTGTGGACGCAGCGTAACTCCTTTCTGGGTTTAGGACTCATTCCTGTACCTTATAACATAAGTTATATTACAAATAAATAACTAGCTTTGACAAAAGTTGAATTGACAGATGGTTAATCCGAAAAACTAAAAGTATTTAAAAGAGTTGCGCTCTTCCAGTTTCGAATGATGGATACTTATATAGTTGTGTGTAACAAACCATCTGACGTATGAGGTTATATGACAAAAACAACACAAACATCAGCTCCTAGATATACACTGCACCATAATAAGCTTCCTAACTACATGTTATGTCACAAGATTCTCTTGTAAGCAGGATACACACGCTAAACAGAGGCCGTTTCTCAATGTCGAGTACACCTGCTGCAGAGCCACTATTTCAAGTATACTACGTCATAGAGTGGCGCCGAATGTTGGGCATTTAACATGCATTTAAACAGTCCTTCGGCGCCACTCGATATACTTGAAATAGTGGCTCTGCAGCAGGTGTACTCGACATTGAGAAACAGCCAGAGATTCAAGGTGAGCGAAGACAACATTCAGAAAATCATTGTGAAAACAGCCTTCTGGTGTCAATCAAACTCTGCACATACATCATTCTAGGAAGTGAAGGTCAAACATTACAGTGAAGTAACACACATTTGTGATCTGGCGGGGGACTTAGGCTGTTTAAATGTAAATATTTTTGGAGTAGAGCATTTGCTCACAAGCTCCCTTTTTTAAATACCGCATTTTTGGAAGGCAGAATACGTGAAGGTCTTTTTATAATCCCTCAATTTATTATCTGTTTCCTTACTGAGGACCTTTACTGGCTGGGTTAATGTTCAGCTGACCTGAGTTTAGCATCTAATAACCGGAGTTCTGTTGTTGTTGTTGTTGTTATGTCAACAGATGCCATTGGATTCTCCTTTTGTTTAGATTGGTTTCTGATTAACAGACTCCTTGGGTTAAAATGCACCAAATAAAAACCCAAAGATGATTAAACTTGCCTTTTACTGGCAAGAAGACGGACCAATTCTTAAGGTTTGACTGTCTGAAATGTTAAAGGTGGAAATGTTGAAGAAAAACATAGATAAGTGTTTAATTGAAGTTTAAAAAAACTATCTGTGCTGTTCATTCATTAGACAAGGGATGCTAGCGCTCTGCTGCTTATTACATATAATAAGCTTTTGTAGCTTTTGTAAAAAATGAATGAGACACAAATCCAACAGAATTCTCAATAAGTAAAACCAGTCAAGGGAAAACACACAAACTTTATTCTCTTCATTTTACAAAACATTTCAGTATCAACCTCAATAAATAATAAATCCAATACAGACTTTCAAAAAGCAAAATGATCAAACTTAAACATGATCAGACACATTTCCTCAAACAGCAACTTATGGTGCTAGCCTTTCATTTTGTTGCTGCTCTAGCACAGTAACAACAATGTGTAAATGTATGAGTTAAAAGGCAAAATCAACACAACAAGAGGGTGTTCTATTTACACAACAGAGTGTAAATCACACACCGTAACGATAAGCACATGAGCGATGCATGATTATGACAGATATGACAATCAAAAAGGCAACTGAGATGTTTGCAAATGGCTCATACTGTAAAGCAGCATGACTGCATCATGGCTGGCACACAACCACCTTCAACCAACAGACACAACTATCAATGTGGAATTGTATTAAGATAATAATCTGCTTTGATGACGCAGAGTTTTTTATATTAAAAATGAAAAACCAGTGGATGAAAGTAACTAAGTACATTTACATAGTATTTCCATGTTATGCTACTTTATACTTCTACTGCACTACAGAAGCAAATATTGTACTTTTGTACTCTTAATTAAGTAACATCCTTGACTTAACAGGTATTTCTACACTGTGGTATTATTACAAAATCGTTATTGTCAGCCTTCATTTAGCTTTTCCTCACATCTGAAACACGTCCAGATGCAGCCAGATGAGCGCTGATGTACATATTTACATTCATCATGTAAATGTCAAGCAATGTGTGGATGTAATATGTTAATGTGGTAATGTGAAGCAGCTATTTCTCAACAACAAAAACATTTTAGTGACTCCCGTAAAATCAACCAAAAAGCCATGTACCTGTAATGACTAAATAATATTCCCAGAACATTATTTATCATTGGAGTAATGCATTTCCAGGCGTTGAGAGTAACATGTATAATTTTATTAAGATAACGTGGATTTAAAATAATAGCTACCTGCAAAGTAGCACACAGTCATCAGATGAATAATATATTAGGCTATTTGTGGAAGTCTCCTGTGTGTTGTAGACTACATATCTTTTATTTATTTATCGTTGACAGTTGCAGATACTAATAAGGCCATCCAGTTGTATTTTTTGCAGGACATACAGAAAGATTTTGGTTTATATTCGATGATATCTGAAATATTGATGTTATATAAAACTGTATGTATGTTGGGTGATACATTTTAATAAGTCATCCAAACTTTTTGTTAAATAGCCATTTTAATGTTTGTTACTTTATGCATCATTCTGAAATATAATCTAGTATAATCATTTAGACTGATTACAAAATAAATGTCAACCCTTGTTCCTCACAAAAAATGCTGTTTTCAGAGGACAACAATGTCAGTGAGTCAAACAATTGCCAGATTGCAAAATGTATCATAATTTTAAAATAACTTCTACTCCTGTCTTCATCAAAACTTCCTCATTTTCATATATTTTATTAGAACGTTAACTCCTTGAAATGCCAGATTGTTTAAATCATTTCCCTTTTATTTTTAAAATGTTGTTTAAATGGGTTCTGACTACACGCTTTGTTGTGGACTGATAATATGCGATAAGCGGAAAATGTCCCTAGTGAGGCACAAGGGTTAATTAATGGTGCAGAGACTCTATCTGCAAAACTAGTTCATTGTGGATACATACGTACAAATATATGTCTCTAGTGAATTATACATGCTGACCAGAAACATATTACATTTTCCGTAACTGGAAAGGCTTGTTGCCTAGCAAACTGTGCCTTAAATGAGTTACATGTGAGGACACCAGACTCCACCATTTTCTATATGGCCCATACCTCTATATTTGTTATGACATGGCAGCATGAATAACATGAAAGTTATATTATGTTTGAAGAGTATAGGCGAATAAAGTGGTGTTTATTTGTAGCATGCATTTGGATTTCACCCTTCACTTTAGTCATTTCCATTTTTCCGCAACAGTCTTTTTTCGCATGAAACTTGGATATTCGCGCATTACGGGGGTTGTTTACTTACTGGTCTGTATCTATTCCAAATTGGAGTCAAAGTCACACTTTCAGATCAAAAGACCGTTTCTGTCCCTCCATTCCCTTTTAGCATTTGGTCTTCCTTTCCGCAGTTTTGAGTTTGAAATAAATTGGAAATGTAGTAGGTGTTGTGTGTCATGCAGAACAATTTAAATGTAACAACACTACACAATTAAAAGCAGGCAAATGTCTATGTTCACATGCTAAAGCACCCATTCCATCCATCATAAAATAGGAGAATGCGGGCTGAAGGAAAGAAAACCTTGGTTTGGATTGTCATACCAATGTACAGGTTTGCTTTGCATTGACTGGTGTCTGCAGTGCAAGAAAGAAAAAGTTGAAATATGAGGTAAAACAAAGCGGCGCAGTGCGTGAGATGCCATGAAAGATACTAGAGTGTCAAAGAAGTTAAGCAACCTTTCAGAAAACAACAGGGACAGGTGTGAGGAATCCTAGGAACAGTGCGGATACATGTGTTGACAGTAAATACTAGAAATCATTGTTAAAGTCACTTAATAAATCAGGACAGTCAAACACAGAGAAATAAATACATATCAGGTGCAATGCCATTTGCTCAAAGGTCATGTGATGCACTGAGGGAAGATGGGTAGAAATTACAGTGTGCCCATTCCAGTGACTTCAGACGTCAGCCTAGAACAGTTTGGGGGAAGGAGGGGGAGGGGAGGGAGGGGAGGCAGACAGAGAGAATAAAACAGCTGTGAAAGAAGAACTTTCCCTTGGAAGTGAAAGTACAGCTGCAATGGCTGGTTCTGTGCTCCAGTGTTTGCTGACACTGCAGGTTGTGGTTTTCTCTGCATATTTGATACCATATTTATATAATACCCTTCAACCTTCACTTCAAAAAATATGGTATTTAACCATGCAGTTCTATCCCCCTGATGAAGCCATGCAGTGAGGAGAAAATAATGGTGTATGAAATGTGTATAAATTGCTGTATTCCCTGACAGAGGCATCACATCACTCTTCTCTCAACAGCATTGCTCGAGTGGCAGTCATGTGTTTTGTCTTTTTTTACTTTTATTTATTTTACATTTTTTATTCATTTTACTATTTCAGACAATGACACAATAGGACTAAATAGGCACATGTATCCAATAGAACAATGAAAAACAGAAAGACAATATTATTATTGGAATAAGGCATGCTAATTAAACACTTAAAGAAATAATTAGACATTTTGAAATGTGCTTTTTTTTTTCTTACAGCAAAATGAGAAGGTTAATACCACCCTTATGTTAACGTTGCAGCCAGGAGGTGGTTAGCATAGCATTGCATAGCATAGCATGTCACAAAAAAAGGCATGACTTCCTGGAGCCTTTATCTCAATGTGAGGGTGCCACCATGTTAATGAGTGAGCTTTATAGGTGCGGGTAAGCAAAATGATTGTCGCCTTTAGACAGAGCCAAGCAAATGGATGCGTTCAATTTGTAATTGTATATTGACATTTCCCATTTTCTACTCGAAGAAAATTAAGCCGAAAACCCCCTGAAGTAGCATTTCAATAAGAAATGTTGGGAGTATCTCATCACCCATCAAATTCCAAGATGGCTGTTAAGCAAAAGATATCTTAATTTACAGTTTATTAGTATATCTGTATATCTATACACACAATACCGTACACATTTTATTTGTGGACCTGTTGCTTAAGTGTAAGCACAAAATACAGCATGTCTAGAACTGGCTTGGAACTGTTTCTGTTGAAACGCAGTAAACCTTGGGTGAGGCGTAATTCACAACTCCAATTTCCGACTTTCAAATATAAAATGAACCCACCATAAGCTTCTGACTAGCTAGCTAAGCTAACCTTCTCCTGGATATGGCTACATATTTAACGGACAGAGATGAAAGTTGGTATCAACCGTATTATCTGACCCCGAGCAATTATAAGAACAGAATTTGACAAAAATATCAAACTATTCTAAACGATACCCTGGCTCCATCGTTTAAAAACTAATCCCAGTGTTATCAATTTGACTAAAGTTAACTCCATTGGCTAATGCTAAGTGTTGTGCAAGGGAGTCTAAAGGGGAAGTTCAATGGGATAACACACAGAGGTTAATTGTGAAACAGCGGTTTTGATGTTAGCTTTTGCAAACAGAAGCAGATTTGGGGTGACTTCAGGATGTAGTCATGGATGAGGGGTCATTCCACATGGCAGCCACGTCCCTGAACCTGCCATTGGAATTGTGGGAAAGCAATTGCTATTAGTTTTTCAGCGGACTGTCATCAAAGACTGAAAGTCCTGTTTGTTGAGTTTGTGGCTGCTCTGACGTTGATAACATTTGACTTTGAGGTGCAGATATATCCTGGGGACATCAGTGAGGGTTGGTTTTTCTCAGAGCTGATAATGTATTACTGGTTTCAGCAGGGAGAACAGGACACAGAGGGGTACAGAGTCTAGCAGAGATATTAAAATAAAAAAATAGGTTTCTCAGAATTGTACTGTTCACAATCCAGAACCTGCCCTAGGTCTCGGCTTGGGGCTCAACACATTTCGTCTTTGAGTTGCTTTTAATTGAATAACATCATTTGATTATTGACTGACTGAACACAGTTTACTTATCTGCAGATTCTGTTCAAAGACACAGCTTACTTGTCTCAGTATTTGGCATTGCTCCCAGGAGCAACTTACTTGCAAAGAGGGTACTGGCTAAAAACTCGATGCATTTTAATGCCTACACTTGGGTTGAAATAAAGGACAAAAGAAAGAAGAAAAAAGAAAAAGGAACATTATTCATCTGCTTGTCAAAACCTGTCAGATATGGTGATTTTCTGGCAATCCATCAAAGTATCAATGTCATGAATGTCAGAATTAAACTAGAAAGCTACACAGCTACAGTTTTGAACCTTCGGAATTGTGCCAGATCCCAGCAGATAGGGTTAAAGTTTACCTGGCATTGATGAGATACTGGGCCAAACTGATGTTGGCAGGAGTCCCTGTGATGGTGATCTGGCGCTCCGAGGAGCCCTCCATGGCATTCGCGATTTTGATCTGCGCTCCAGACATCTGTCGGATCTCGTTTATTTTGGTTCCCTGGCGTCCAATGATGCAGCCTATTAGCTGGGGGGAGGAGAGAAAGACTTTGGAGCATTAAGCAATACATGTATCCTCATACCTTAAACATTTTACATTTAAAAAGGTGTTTAATGGGGCATGAAATGGTCTGCGTTCCATTTCAATCCTATCACTGCAGAAATCAGGTTTGATTAAGTGTAACATGGTCACTAGATCAGCTGATTGGTGGAATTCTGCTTTACAAGAAGTGGAGTTGGCAGGGTCCTTGTTTGTAATCTCATTGGCTCTTATTATTTAACATTTCTATTTATCGTTTAAAAAACAGGATTGACTTAGGGTACTCTGTGTGCAAATATGTATTTTCTTTTGACTCAATTAACACTTACAACTGCCAACCACCCTGTTCAACTGCAGTGATATGACTGTTATCTTTGCAACCTTGCATTTTTTGCACAATTAAAACTTTCTTAACATCGTTCAAATGTTGTATGACAATGCCAATTGAAAGACACCTACATTGAAAGGTGCATAATGAAAAAACAAACAGTATCAGCTGTCTCCAAAAAGCATTACTCACATCATTGGGAATGGCAAGTTCATGGGTACTGGCTGGTGGATTGGCATCCAAACCTGAATTGGGGAGCAATTGGATAAGAAGGGAGACTTGACTAAAAAGCCCACTTTACTTCAACAGAATTATTTAGAAATGTTGGGAAATACGCTTATTACCTCCTTAGCCAAGAATTAGATGAGAAGTGTTGTTGCACTCTTGACTAAGTGTATTTCCAACATATCAAAGTATTACTTTGAGAACTTCATAAGCCTATTTCTCAGCGGATCTTTTTTCTGTTTTTTTTACGCAGTTTCTCTTCATTCTTTATTAAATCACGTGTGTGTGATTGGATATAATGTGAATAAAGTCAGCTAAAACACATTTAAATTAGAGCACATTTTCACAAGAACTCCTGATGGTTCAATAAATAATTCCGTGTATAATGGTAATTGCCACACGATGAAAGTGGGGAAAAAAGAATCAAAATGAAATTATTCATGAGATCCTCAGTTGGGTGAATACGTTCAATTTGGATGTGGGGGTGATATTCAGTTAGTTAAAACAGAACAATGTGGTAGCCTATTTCACGGGAGTTTTTCATCTTTAATGGAAGTTAGACAACCTAAAAATGTGTTGCCAAGAGATAATGCATTCCTCAATGCATTATTTGAAAGTCAGTCCCACTGTTTTTGTAGGTTGTTCTTTTTGCATACCATTGGCATACTATCAGACAGAGCCAAGATAAAAATATATACAAGGAACAAATCAAAGAAGGAGAGAAACCACAGGGGTCAAGTCATGCTGTGCCAAAAGAGATAAGGGCAGGAAGGGAAAGAGAAAAATGTTTCTCAAGGGCCTTGTGGGTACGTACCAGGGAAAGCAGGGGTGGTCTGTCCGAGGGGGGTAAAGGGGGGTTGCTGCATAGCCAACTGGTGGAGCTTGGTCAACTGCTGAAGGGTTAGGAGGGAAAGTAGAACTAAGAGGTTACTGGTACACAGGTCTCACCAAGAAATTAACAGAAACTAAAGTGAAGAAACGGTGAGGAGAAGGAGCCAATGACACAGGGTGGTGGGGGACAAAAGTAAGGGAAAAGGAGGTAAAAGAGAGAGGGTGATTGTCTGTCATGGATTGGCAAATTGCTACGTAATTTGCCTTTTTTTCAAATACTGTTATGATCTAAGTTTTGGTTTGCTGTTTTATTTTGAAATGTATTTTGTCCTTGTGTCTTGTCTTGTTTTACTTCCTGTCTCTGTGTTTTCCCGCCTGTTTGATTGTCTAATTCATTACACATAGTTCCAATTTTGTTTTGCATGCCCTCCTCAGCTGTGTCTTGTTTTGGTGATTAGTGTGTATTTATGCCTGTCTTCACTATAGTGTTCTTTGTCAATTTGCCGTCATTGTTTCTTCGGTTTGGTTCCTGGTTTCCTGTCTGTAATATTCTGGATTCCGCATCCTCCATTGTTCTCCCGGTTTGTTTCTAGTTTTTGTTTGCTACTTTTTCTTTTGGTTGACCTTGCTGGTTCCTCCATTTTTCATAAAGTATTTTGAATTATCTTGACTTCTGCATTTGGGTGCCCCCTCGATTACCATTGTGTCCTTCTATCTGGCACTATGACTCAGAACTGGGAACCTTTGGCTTTACATGCCTGTCAGAGCATCCGCCAACCCTCGACATGGTCACAGGATTTCCATCCCCTGCTGTGGATTATTTCCATCAGCAATGGGGGAAGACGGATGCTTTCAAGCCTTCGCCTCCTTTTAAGAGGAGTTTTAATGAAGGTGGGAGAGGATGTCATGCCTGTACTTGAGTGATTGTGCCGTCAACCATCAACTCAAGCGGCATCAATCAATGCCCAACTTTGAATTAGTGGATCTGACACAAGGTAGATCTTGAGATGCGCTCACGACAAGGACAGATGAAGGCAGATTATTAATGGAGACTACATGGTCCACCAAACGTAAAAGGGGTGTCTATATCATAACTGCCATAAATGTATTTGCCTTTATCGATATCACAAGGTGTCAATGTTTTGTTATCAACCACAACTGGTACGAGTTGTTTCCGTCGGTTGAGCTTTAGTCCACCCATAAAGAACGAGATTAGTTATCGTGAACGTCGCGATTTATGACTTGCCTCTTAATAGCTTTTAAAGAACTATTGTGTCCATGACACAACATGTCTGTTACTATTTTGAAAATGTAGATAATTTAGATTTCAGTAGAATTCTTGATTGTATTAGAAAGAGACAGAGAACTCACATCTGGATGGGGTATGGCGTACTGTCCCTGAATTGTGTAGGCCTGAAGAAATGACAGAAAAAAACACATTTTAGCATCTCATTTACAATAAGCACAATAAGACAATGTCCATTCTAAGCGCCATACACACCATCTGTCCACTTTTAGTTCAAATAAACATTATATGGTCTCATTTGCAAATGTTTTGTGTTTCTTAAAATTAGTAAGTGATTTTGTTTGAATGGATATTAATTCTCTAATCAAACTCATCATTCTCATATTCAAGTGATTATGTAAATGGTCTTCAAGAGTAATGGTGCCTTGTAATTGCAAGTGGGTGGCAAACAAGATACTGTCCGATATGATTTAGTGCATTAGTACTGTAGCAATAGTGCATCCGAAACAAACTTCAACATGTGCTTTTTGAATAAAAACGAAAATAAAGTGGTTTGATTAACTTCAGTTATGTAGATAAGGTAAGTACGTGTATGTGATGTAAGTTAACTCATGTACGTATGTTAAAATACGTCAACGTAGAGTTTTGGCTTGACACCGGACACGGACAGCAGTCTAGATAAACTACTCCATGATTCTTCATCAAAAGTTTCTTCTGTTTCTTTTTGTACGCATGCCTGCCCAGCTGTTTTTTTTCCTTGTGATTAGTCCTGCACGTATTTAAAGAGCCTGTGACAGCCTCCCAACAACTGTTGTGCAATGAAATATTGGGCTACTAGTCATCTCAAACCGTCAGTTTAAAAAAGAAAAAGCGATACCGTTCCGTTAAATATCAATCATTTCGAACATCGCGGGGAAATTCCTTCGACTCATTTTGAAGTTTTGGGGGAAGCCGGAAGTGACGTCAATGCGGGAACGCTTCACTGTGCGGCGAGAGAGCCAAACACGGACAAAGTGTGTTGTCATGCGTAGAAATGGTGAATTACTGAGTTTAGGCACGTTAATAACGTTTTAATGAAGTTGACTACAGTATATACATATTTGTCAGTGCTTTCATGTCAATTCGGCGAACATAAACATAAATGATCGTGGTGAAGATGATGATTACATTAGGATTAAAATCGGAGCTGCTGAATTTCTTCCCGTCGGATGTGATATAAAAACAAATCGATTATTTTTGTAGTTGTAAACTCAAGTGGATGAAACTACATTTATTAGTGCTTTCATGTCAATTCGGCGAACATATGATACATTAAATGATCGTGAGGATGATGATTTAAAAATCGTTTGTTTGAGCCGGTCTGCATTTCCTGATGAGAAAACAAACCGATGCTTTTTGTAGTTGTAGTACACCAACATGGATTAAACGTGTGGTTTTTTTACCACAATGTTGGGGAAATTAATGGATAAAATGCACGGATTATTATTATTATTATTCCCTCTCCGATCGGGACACTAGGTCCACCGTTTCCCCGCAGCAAGGCTCCCCCCGTTGACAGTTTACGTGGGCTGGGTGCAGTGGAGGACTGGCCATCGGGACGAATCCCGATGGGCCGGTACCGAAGTGGGCCGGTCGGATAAGTCACTAGCACATCCCCCACTCCCCCCGTTGACAATTTACTAGCGGTACCGAAGTGGGCTGGTCGAGAGTCCCGGGATGATTTTTAATTCCAGTCCACCACTGGCTACATGACCGTATGATCGCCCATATTGACGCACCTAATTCCTAAACTTCTAACAGATACAACATAAACCGATCCTTCAGCCTCATATGAGCTCTCAGACACGTTCAAAATTAAACTGTCATCGCTGTCTGAGTTTGCTGCTGTGTGCACCATCGTGCGTTTGCATTCAGATGCTGGTATCCTGAACGGTGCAGCTGGAGCGCTGTGCCCGCAATGACGTCACACATAATTTGGCGGGACTTGAAGAATTCCTGAGAAGATCCAGAAAATGGTCAACATTGAAGGGCAGATTAATGGTTATCAAAGTACACATTTCCAAAATCAGTTCAGTAACGGTTTTCAAGGGGACAATATTTACTCAAATTTATGGGTTTGGCTGATGGGGGAAACTCGTGTCACAGGCTCTTTAAGTTCTGGTTTCTGTAATTAGTTGTTGGTTGTGCGTCAGAGAGCTTTTTACCATTTGTTTAGCCTTGCCTTGCTCTGTCGATTACCTGCCATTAAAGTTATTTTTCTGGAGAACATTTGTAAATCCTGCCTTTGGTTCCACCCTGCTCTGCTCTCAATCGTGACAGACAGATGTTTTTAAATCCTAGTGTCTATAGATTGGATTTATGTCTATTTATCATCAAATAAAGCAGTTTGCAAAGGTGCCTCAGGCTATGTTCAAAATGACTTCAGTGAACACAATAACATATGCAAAAAATCAAACAATCAAAAGTCTAAATAAAAAATGGCAGCTGTTGTTGTATGAACACATTTCACACCGTCTGAACATTACTGAACGTTTTAAGCTTCACAAAGTAGCTTTCTATATTGCAAAGGTGTTGCTGTGTGCCTGTGTACTCCTGTGTTAATGTGTTTGACCAAAGTCACATGTTTCGTAATGATTACAAACCACTTCTACCCAGTCTCACGGCATTTCGTGTTATAGTCACGACATTTAATCTATTGATTCCTGTTCACCAATACGATTTCCCCTTTTTTTCGTGTCACACAGAACGATTTTAAAAGCATGTATTTCTATTGGTAGTATGTTTCGTGCCTGCAGCACGTCTTTTTGTCCGTTCGGGTGTTGGAAGACCGGAAGCTGTGGGGTTCATAAAAACATGTTCTTACTCAATATCAAGCCACGATTATTGTTATAATTTTAAATCGTATAATGTCGGACTTTTTTTGCCGTCCGTGAGGAAAATAAATGGGGCTCAGAGCCTCAGAATACTGAAATCTGTATTTTTTTTCATACTCTTATGTATGTAGATAGTATAAGAAATGTGCAGAATATGACAGTTTAATGGTGGAGGTATACACACATATTGATAGATGTCTTGTGCACTGTTGAGGAACCTGCAACCCAAGTTTTTCATTCATTGCATAACTTCAACGTAGTTAATATGATATGTCAATAAACCTTTGAAAATCTTGAAATCTTGAAAGGGATGTGCATATCACATAAACACCATATCCCAACGTGCATTGCGGCTAAACAATCCTATCACCGAGCTTAAACCATAGCTGAGGATCTTGGGTAATCAGTTCAGTGGGTGTGTATCTGTTTCCGGTTCTTTTATTTTGAAATTCAGTTCCTGACGGACGCCAAAAAAGCCAGAGATTATAGAATTACACAAATAAATAAAAACAAGGATAATTGTGTGTTATTGTTGAGTAAATAACAGTGTGTTATTTAGAAAAGAATAACAAATTAGAAGGAAAAACGGATAAAAAAAATACAGATTTCAGTATTCTGAGGCTCTGAGCCCCATTTCTTTCCCTCATTGACGGCAAGAAAAGTCCGAAATTATACGATTTAAAATCAAAACAATAATCGTGGCTTGATATTGAGTAAGAACATGTTTTTATGAACCACACAGCTTCCGGTCTTCCAAGACCCTACCGGACAAAAAGACGTGTTGCAGGCACGAAACATACTACCAATAGAAATACATGCTTTTAAAATCGTTCTGTGTGACACGAAAAAAAGGGGAAAATGGTGTTGGTGAACACGAATCAATAGATTAAATGTCGTGACTATAACACGAAATGCCGTGAGACTGGGTTGTCTGTCTAGTTGCTACTCAGAGTGCACAGGCATATCTGCACCACACGAATGCAGGAACATTACATTACATTACATTTAGCTGACGCTTTTATCCAAAGCGACTTACAATAAGTACATTCGACCAGGAAGACACAACCTTGAGGAAAACAGAATCATATAAGTACATCAGGTTTCATAGAGCCAAACATTTCAAGTGCTACTCAACTGGCTTTAGATAAGCCAGTCCTTTATTAGTATAAAAGTGCTTTGTTAATAAATCTATCGCTCGAAGTGGAGTCGAAAGAGATGAGTTTTCAGTTTGCGCCGGAAGATGTGCAAGCTATCTGCTGTCCTGATGTCAATGGGGAGCTCATTCCACCATCTTGGAGCCAGGATAGCAAACCCACGTGTTTTTGCTGATGGGAACTTGGGTCCCCCTCGCAGCGAGGGTGCAGCGAGTCGTTTGCCTGATGCAGAGCGTAGTGCACGCGCTGGGGTGTACGGTTTAACCATGTCCTGGATGTAGGAAGGGCCAGATCCATTCGCAGCATGGTAAGCAAGTACCAGTGTCTTGAAGTGGATTCTAGCAGTTACCGGAAGCCAGTGAAGGGAGCGGAGGAGCGGAGTGGTGTGGGAGAATTTAGGAAGGTTGAAGACCAGACGAGCCGCTGCAGAGGTCGGATGGCACATGCAGGTAGACCAGCCAGGAGGGAGTTGCAGTAGTCTAGGCGTGAGATGACGAGAGCCTGGACCAGAACCTGAGTCGCTTTCTGTGTCAGCTGGGGACGTATCTTCCTGATGTTGTAAAGCGTGTATCTGCAGCAACGGGTTGTAGCAGCGATGTTTGCAGTGAAGGACAGTTTGTTATCTAGGGTCACACCCAGATTCCTTGCAGTTGAGTCGGGGAAACAACTGAGGTGCCGATGTTGATTGTTAGGTCAAGAGTGGGACAATCTTTTCCCGGAAGGAAGAGCAGCTCAGTCTTGTCAAGGTTGAGCTTGAGGTGATGAGCAGACATCCACTGAGAGATGTCAGCTAGACAAGCAGAGATGCGTGCGACGACCTGGGTCTCTGAGCGGGGAAAGGACATAATTAATTGGGTGTCGTCAGCGTAGCAGTGGTATGAAAAACCATGCGGGCTAATGACTGATCCGAGCGAGTTTGTGTACAGGGAGAAGAGGAGGGGACCAAGAACAGAGCCCTGAGGGACCCCTGTAGTTAATTGACAAGGGTCGGACTCAGAACACACTTGTCAGGAAAATGTAAACACAGGCTATTTTAGCATTAGCAAACAAACAACCAATGATGTAAGCTTTGGGACAGGGACAGCATGATTTGTTAAAGGGTTGTGTTGGCACAGACACAAAAAGTGAAAAGGCTTGAAGGAACAGCAGGCAGCAGCTGATACTGCAGTAAGTCTCAGGTTAGCTGTAGGCAGAAATTAACAAACTAGCTCAGCTTACCTGGCCACCAGAAAAAATGACCGGGGTGGAGGCAGGCTTTGGGCGATAAGGGATGGTGGCACCTTTTGGTGGAGACTGAGAGAAAGAGAGGAGAGGCAGTCAGCATGTTCTTACTTTATTAGGAACAAGTTAAATTGGAAGATAGCAGAAACTCTAAAAGTAGGCCACGCTAAATATTTTAGCTTAGCTTAGCAAAATAACTACCTCACAGAGTAACATGTCATGTCTTCTTTGTTTAATCCGTTCTTAAACTAAATTGTAAAAGCAACAGAGTAAGTGACCTTTAGTGGTGATGAGATGCAGATTATGTGACCTTTTCACCAGAGCCAAGCTAGCTGTTTCCCCATTTCCTGTATGTATGCTAAGCTAAGACTGTAGCTTCAGATTCAATGAACAGATGGTATTGATCTCCTGAACTAACTTTTAGTATGAAACCTAATATCTTGAACTATTTCTTTAAAATACTCATATGTTTTCCTAGCCAGCTATTTACTGTGTGTTATTTAATGCATGTAGGGCATAGATTTTGAAAGCCATGATTATTCAATAATCATCAGGGAAGATTCGATCCCATCCAATATGCTTTATTGTCATGAATGTAAGACAGACAATATTGGCAATGCTTCGAGTAATGATGAGATTAAAAGGAAAAAGAACAGGGCATAATTGGGAAAATCAAGAAAATTGCAGAAATATCTGAAAATAATGTAGAAATATTGTAGGTAATCACTTTCAATAAATCAGACAATAATGTCTTTGTGCGCTTACTGTGATTTTCTTTTCTTATTTTTTGGCAGCTTTTAAATATATTGTTCATGAAAAATAAAGGAGTTGTTGAGTGCAGATGTATTCATAAAGATAGGAAAATACATAGACCCGGCAGGTAAATCCGGACTAGAGCTTGAATCTCCGCAACTCTTTTCTATCTTACTTTTTTGCTGGCTTATATTTCTACGGCAGCAGGGAGGGGATTTCAGTGAGAAGGTTGGGGGCTTCCAGCTCTGAATTTACAATTTCGACAGACATATCGATTTTTGCTGTGCTTCAGCAACAAGGCTGTTCAAGACAGTGGAGAGAAGGCTAAATCAGGTTTCCTCTGTAGCTGCTGCTGTAGGAGGAGGACTACCCACATGGGTATGAGCTCCAAATCCAATATCATAAACAGCAAGTGTCTTCCTAATGTTGCAGAAATAGGCTTTTCCTGACAGTTCTCATTATACAAAAGACGTGGTCAAGTGGTAATACAAATTGCTTCAACTCCACTGTAATGAGATTATTTGTATTAGTTTTCTTAAAGTAGTTACACCACAAATGAATTCTTTAGTTTCTCTGTCTAGGTCAAATCAGGTCTGCAGTAATATAAAAAATATATAGCAAGAGACAAATTGGCCTCCTGAGCCTCAATTAAAAAAAATGATTGCTTGTCAAATTGACATTTATGGACCTCAATAACCAGGTGTCTCTGCCATAGCCTAACTTGAATCTGTGAAGCAATGTTAAAACCACGAACCCTGAGAAAATGCATTAACAACAAGAAGTGAATATAACAACTTATAGTGTCTTGGCAGAGCTGCAACATACTGTAGTGCTTGTAGCTTGAACTGTTCACAATACCGGTTTGTATAAGATCTGCAGAAATATATAATTTCTTAACTACAATTTGAAGAAAGTTGTTTTGCTCAACATACCTCGAGCATGACCACACATATTTGTTTGACACACTGGATGATGGCTTCTGGGGTTCCGGAGATTGTCACTGCACGTTCTGTGGAGTTGGGCAGCATGTCCCCTGCTACCTGGACCTGGGCCCCTGTGGACTGGAGTAGAGCAAGGGACTTTGAGGTACAATGTTAACAGGAGTCTGTTCGTGCAGTGAATCAATGCTGCACAGGAAGTGAAGAAAGCACGTTTCCACAACAAACTGGCATTGGAGGAAGGTTTATTAGACTGGGGGCAGTAAATGTTTTGGTACAAGTGCTAAAAACCGTTTAGACAAATTGTGATCCTATCAGTAAAATTACTTGCAGATGTAGTCTGTGGTAACTTTGACTGCATATCTATTGTGGTGTCAACGCTAATCTATCATAATGTGTTCCTGATAAGGATATCAGAATACTACATTATAAAATGTAGCTTTGTCCATGTCCGAAATGTTTGTAAAAGCCCATATACGTATATTTTCAGTGTAACGTCTTGGGCGATTTGGTACTGAGTTATTCTTCTTTTTTTCAATTTCCAGCAGACCTGGCACAGGAAGTGCAATGCATTTGGCTTGGCAAACAGAGATAATGCATGTGTTTATTGGCATATCAAGCAGAGAAGTCAGAGCCAATAACTAGGCGTCACTGGAGACACTAGGCACAGGAAGAGTCCAATGCATTTGGTCTTTTCAAACAGAAATTATGCATATGTAAATGTGCATATAGAGCAGAGAAGTGAGAGCCAATCACCAGTGGTCACTAGAGACACATATGGAAATGCATTTGTATATGGTACCAGGTGGGAATTAAACTTTTAAGAGCCGTCCATTTGTGTTCAGATCCCCCAAGATGCATGTTACTGCCAGATGTGAACAGAGCTAGTCTTGTTTATAGATGTGTGTGTTGTATGTATCTATTCCCAGCCTGTTCTTTGCCCCTTGAACCCTCCATATCTCCCACATCCGAGGTAATCATCTGACTTTGCTCCCCAGTGTCTGTAGACCGCATTTACTTATCATACAGGGTTTGTTGTGGAGTAGGTTCTGATGAATGAACAATATGTGACATTTTAAATGTGCTGCAATTAGGAGTTAAATGGGAACAACCTGTTGGCAATGTTTACATATCTGTTGTACTATAACTACTCACAAAGTAACACAGAATGATAAAAGTGTATTCTTATAAAAGGCCTGACTTATGGTAATGAATAATTTAAAAAAGTTTGATATCATACCTCTCTCATTTCTTTGATTTTGGAGCCTCCTTTACCTATGAGAGAGCCACACTGGCTGGCTGGCACGACGAGCCTCAAGGTGACAGGGGGCTTGCTGGTTGCTTGGCTGTTGCTCATGGAATTGATGATGTCCTAAAGAACAAGAACATTTCATTTTGCAGTGGTAATATTTTCAATGTGACCCAAACTAATTAATGTAATGACTCATCATAAATTAGTTTAACAAACGTAAAAGTCCAGGACTAGCTCCGAAAAACATATATGTCAAACGTCCTTTCATATGTTGACGGATAAGCAGTGCTCTTTGGCTCTGTCAGTAAATAACAAGCGGCCAGATTATACGCAGGTCATTGAGGACAAATCATTTCAAGTTCCAGTCACACTGCTTAAGTATATCAATTAGATAAGTGACATCAGAGACAGGATCAGAGAAGGTCGCCGAAAGGATGCCATTTAAATTCACCTGCAGTATTAAAGCTTTGAAATTCAAACAACCACTGCAGGAGCGTGTACATATTTACTCTATTGCTGAGTCACAATTTGCGTACTTCTATAACTACATTTGCTGTTATGAGTGCATAAGTGCCTCCCGAACTATGAGTACCAAGAACACTGGACATTTCTTAAACGTAATGACCGCTATCTATGTAAACACGACATATATATGTGTCAGTAAAGTCTGTGTTCACTCTTTAATAGCTACAATAATTGGTGCACAATAAAGCATCATACCAACTATCCCATTAACATACAGACAGACCTGTGTGTCAGTTGTGATAAATTTAGTTACAATAGCCGAAACACCACGATAGATTGTTTTGAAATGAGATTGGACTCAACACTTACCTAAAATGACACTAATAAACTCAGGCCGACAGATACACTGTTTGAACATGTAGATGGCAAAAAAGGCCTTCAAATCCAAATTGAATATCAGCTCATGAGCACAGTGAGTTGTGCATCTTATCATACCTCCTCAAATTTGTAGGCTATCATAGCAAAAGCCTTGAAGATGGTGTCTGTTGGTCCAGTGATGGTGACAATCCTCTCGGGACAGTTACCCTCGGAAATATTGATTCGGGCTCCACTCTGGAGAAAAAAACATGCACTGTCAATAGGGTCAAAAAAGTCAATGCAAGACCTCAATTCAGGAGTGAATCTCTACAGAACAGAAATAATGTATTCACTGAAGCCACTACAAAACAACATGCATGTAAGCAATTGTTTTATTCTGTAAAGTGTAGCAGTAAATCACATTGTTGTGAAAAAAGGCTACAAGGATTTTTCAAGAATTAAACTCACCTCTTCACGCATCTTCTTTACTGTTTCCCCTTTCTGTGGAAACATTCAAGAGAATTCGTATTTAAAAAGTACAATTACAATTCTCAATAAAAGTTTTTTCCATGAGTACAAACGTGTGTGACGATAAAAATGACATACCTTTCCAATTATACTTCCAACCTCCTGCAATAAAAGAGAGAAAAACACTTATAAAAAAGGCTTCATTGAAGAATCTTATGTATGAATGTACAGTACTAAAACTGCCTTGCTGCTGTTATCCCTTGACGAAGTTTAACCAGTAAAGGGGCATGCAGAGGATCATAGCTGCATGACAGTGTGGAGGGTATCACTCTCCATATGCATGCAGTCACTCTTCATGAGCTTGGTGTGGCATGGTGAGGAAGGTGCAGTGGGGCGGCGCTGACTGCACCAGCAACACTCACTAACCTCTCCTCAGTGTCTGCCAGGGTAACATCCGTTGTGACCTTGAAGCCTTTTTGTTTAATCCTTTGCTCCAAAGAATTTCCAGTAATACTTTTGATACTAGCCACAAATGGTAATGAAAAATTCATACCCAAAACAAAAAAAAGGACATGAAAGCTAAGGAGTCAAAATATTCCCCTTCAATCGTATCAACATCTATAACGTACAATATTTAGATTCAGAGGGAGGGGTATCCAGGACAGTATACGCACTTTAATGCACATTTTTCAGACTTCAACACTGTGGAGGAATGGTTGTGTCTTAGCAAAGCACTTCTAGCCCAAGGGGCACCCGATCATGCTCTCCAACACCTCAAAGCCAAGCCAAGTCTCCTTAAAAGGACATTCCTACACAACAAAACCACATTGTTAATTGCGCTTCAAGGTAAACATGTCACTGATTACGTTTGTTTTTGACAAATCACCGATATTTTTATGCAACGGTCAGGGAGTTGGACGAAAAGGATGATTGTCCCTTGTGAAATCAGAAGTCACCGTTACTTTTAAAAATGTAGATCTGTAACCTAATGGACATGACAAACATACTTAAAGCCAAGGGATCTTTTACCACACCTAACACATACATGTAGTTAGTTTTGAATAGAGTAGTGTGTTTTGTTTTCTTTCAATTCACAATATGCTTAAAGCTAAGAGATAATCTGGGAGAAATATATTTTCCCTTGAAAGGTAATTAAGTATGTTGTTTAGTTGTATGAAGACAGGGATCCCCCGCCCCCCTACCAAGAAGGGCACCTCAGTGAAGATGTGTGGGTTCTAAAATGACCTCGTGGCCTTAACATTATCCAATGAAAAAACCCAGCCCAATATTCCCTAATCTTTTCCAATTAAAATACCATAGCCGCTTCGCAAAAAGAAAATCCAAAAGCTTAACTCAAGCAAGAAAATTACCAAATTGGCGATTACGGAGCGATTAAACCACCGGCATCCGGTTGGAAGATGGAATGATTGGAAGGACTTATTCTGTTCCTGCAACCACCATATATTAAAAAAGATGCCTTTGTTTTGTCATGATGCAAAGTGCATTTCAACAAAATGTTTCAAAAACACATTACCCACCCTAGCTTTAAGGCAGTAAAAACCTTCTTTCTATTTCACTCATAGCCTTTAACAAACTGTTCAGACCCAGAACAAGTGCTTGCAGCTCGTAGTTCACGCAAAATTGCCACAGCTTTTCTGCAGAAGAGGCAGAAAAACAGCAGAGGCTAACCGAGCATGATGGATCTTAACCAGAATGTTCACACACACACACACACACACACACACACACACACACACACACACACACACACACACACACACACACACACACACACACACACACACACACACACACACACACACACACACACACACACACACACACACACACACACACACACACACACACACACACACACACACACACACACACACACACACACAGACAGACAGATCTGACCAGCTCTTAAAGAGTAGAAGAGGAGCCGGAGAGCACGCTTCACAAGTGTCTGAACACAATGTTGATGCCCACTGCTCTGTGCTCTGTGAAACCTGAAAACACTGAGGGCAGATAGAATACGCTAAGCAGAGTCAGTAGAAGTCTGGAGTGGAGTTTTCAGATCAACCTGATCCCAGAGGCTATGTATGTCAGATTACACAGAATACTGTTGCCAAGGACGGTCTTAGTGTTCAACATTTAATTATCTGTTTAAATGCTAATTAAAGGTGGGGTAGGTAATTTTGGAGAAACCAGCTTGAGTGCGCTAGTACTTTGAAAGTACACAACCGAAAGAAATCTGCCCCTTCCTTACAGAGCCCCTCCTCCAACACACACGAACGTGCACATGACCAATGAGGGCACGAGATAAGTTTGTGCCCCGATGGAAGGCTGACAGGCAGGTAGGCCATCCAGTTATTTCAGCCGGGCTGGCTCAGATGATTGGTCGTGCTTTTCAAAGTACTACGGCTTCCACAGATGATATTTTTGTATGGATTTATTGTCAAAGCATTTAATATATTCATTGCTATCGGGATGTTAAGAGCATTCCATGGAATATAACAAAAAGTGTTAATGAAATAAATTACAGACCCCACCTTTATGTATATGTTATAATCAAAGAAAGGAATAAGGACTAAATGAAACTTAGAACAAAACCCACAAATATCAACTGGAACACTGTCTCTTTAACAAAGTGCAAAAGAACAACAAACAAAATAGATAATAAATTGGAAAGATATTCACAAAAAATTACAGAGAATACAAAATGAAGAGTGATTCGGATTGATGCTAATACAATGTATTAATTACTAGAGAATGGACAGGAAGTGTATGCAAAAATGATTCGTAATATATTCATTTGAACCACTGGCTACTAAATGTACTATAGGTTATAATAATTTCTCTAAATATTCACAAATGATGAGCTTTCGTGTGAAACAGTACATTGGCAGAACACAGTCACAGAATGCTTCAGTTGCTTGAACTTATAAACAAAAAAGTAAAACATCTAAACGTTATACTATCCTACAGGGAACAAGGCAATTATGGCAATGCTAAAAAGAGATGGGACATAGAAATCCTGTCAAAATACAGTGTATCAGATTATATCTCATATGTAAAGAATTAGTCTGACCAGTGTTGAAAAAGTTCTTCAATTCAGGAGAAAGTCATAAAAAGTGTTCTTCCAAAGAAGCCTTTACAACCCTTCCAATATCATCTAAATAAGGTATGATACAAATGGAGTTGCGTTTAAACAAAACACGAAATTGGATGGACATAAAGCTTCCATCTATCAGCACCTGGAAAGAGATCAAATAAATGGAAAAAATAAGTTGAAAAATAAAGGAGTTTCAAATAAATGGGTCACAGAAATAAAGAGAGGAAAACCTCAACTAAGGATTTGTTAATGCCCTTTTTCCCTTAGATCTCTAGATTTGGCAGGATGAACAAATTGAGTGATGACACTGATAACTTGCAAAGTATACTGTATTGAGGTCAAGCTATTGCAAAGCTGCACGAGAAGACAAAGACAGCTGCCTTCCAGCCACCAACAGGTTTGAATGCAGAGAGGCATCAAATCTGTCGTACTATATAAGGGCTTAAGAAGAAGATCAGCAGAGCAAAAATCAAAGTTCAGCAACTTCATTTTTGTAATACTCAAGGTCATGTTGTATTCCCAGGTGGATGTCACACTATGCACAGAGCCTGTGAGAGGGGTTGACTGGGTTATATACACTATGTTAATATCAAATGTTTTGATGTTGTTCTCTCAGAATAAGGGTTGTACAGCTGGTGGGTTCTTTGGGAGTTTAATGTCAATGTGGATCTCTCAGCTAAACAAACTGACTGTTCCAGAAAGGCAAGGCTCAGCAGCAAAGGCCTAGTCACACAAGGACCTAAACACATCTTTGCTTATATACAGTCCATTTGTCTGTACTCTGGTCAAAGCAAACCGGAGAGACAAGGATACCAACAGTGTTTCATCAGTCATGGCCCAAAGACAACCCTTTCCACGTAGAGAATGTCGTAAAAGCCTCTCAATATGTCGAACTACTTTGTGTCTGCAGTCATGACATCAAACCGGTGACAGACTGCTCGCTGAATCCCATAACCCATAGCTGTATTCAAGGAGGAACATTCAATGCTGATTGGCTTTCGTGAGACAGCATCAAGCACATTTCTTGCTTGACTTAAAAAAATGTAAATTCTTGCCAATAGTGCGAACATGTTCAATCTCTTGGTTTCCATTCTGTAAGCGTCATCAGTTTCTTTGTGGTTCTACTTGAAGAACTGCTAGATCCATGTTCTTCCCATGTTGCAACCAATATCATATTTTCACCAGAGCCTCCTTGCCTGGTTAACATCTTATATGCCGTCAGCTTGAAACACAGGTTCTCTGTTAAAAATCAGTTGGTCCATGTCCAAGCTGATAACAGCCAATGGCATCATAATTAGTGTAAGGTAGCTATACAATTAGTGAAATGACCCTCTAAGTGTTGAAGCTTCTGACCTAAAAGAGGATAATAGCTCTGGACTTGTTAGAGAGAACATCAATTAGCTCCAAATGGTTTCTTAAAAGGTCATAAATAACTTAAAGGACCATTAAATTAGGAACTTGTTTCCCTGCATGTCGTATCTTTTTTTTACCAAAGCCAGCTAAAAAGTCTGTCTGCTTACTTTTCCGTGCATGAGGAGGCGGATGGTGAGGGTGACATTGAGGCCGCCCTCTGACGGGACTTTACTGGGTTCCATCTCCATGCTGGGGGGAAGTAAGGCCAAAGCAATGTCCTGGAATGGGATGTCCTCAAGAGGAGAATGGGTAGGGTGGAATACCAGCCAGCCAGTCACCTGCCAAACACAATATACGTTACACACTGTATACACTTATATTTGTACAATTATAATTAAACAGAGAGAGCATTAATATAAAAAGATGAATAGATTGATATATAGATAGGCTCTATTGATTTACATATATCGCAATATGACTTTCAGAGTATTTATTGCCCCGAAGAATTACATCTTGAGGTAATGAGAGGGATATGTGTACATAATTCAATGATAAACTAACTATAGCAAGTTTTGTCATAAAGAAGATTGGATGTTATCTAGAGTGACAAGTAAAGGTCCAAATTGGTTTCAAATCGACATTGATCATTGAACACCAGCTTATCAATAAATGCTTTGAAAAAACTCCTGACAATAATCCTATGACTTGCAGACATCATTAGATGTATTGTGTTTGAAGGTTCCTTCCTATAAGTCAGACATTACATCTTTCCTACAGTGCCCTCATTACATGTATTCAAATCAATTTTGCTCCCCTTTGCCTTTGCCTTTGCTAGTAAGGCAAAGGCAAAGGGGACAGTCATGCATTGATGGCTCAGCAAAAAATAAGGAACGTTTATTTTTGGGTAGACTAAGGAATGTTCTGTTTGTTTTATTGTATTATCTTGCTAAGGTTACATTATGTATATTAAATCAGGACATCTATACTAGGTATGTTCCCTTGAGTTACTGCAATGGCATCTTTAGGAAAGATATATGAAAGATGCATGATTACATTCAATTTGATTCTCCCAATGGCTTGAACCAGCCTTTGATCACAGATGTTGTTCTCTAACCATGTTGCCATTGTCCTTACACCCAGCCAGCATGACCAATATTCATTTTCCTAATCCCCCCTGTTGATGTTCTGCTGTTTTAATTACCTGCAGAAGTTGTCATTTCATTTTCTACAGAAATCAAACAGCCACAAGGGAATGCTAGCCAATCAAATGTACTCTGTGGACTGAAGTTGGGCACATTTATGTTGGTTTTATGGTTGTTGGCTACAAATTGAAGTCCAAAATACAGTTATAATTTCAGCCAGACACAACCTATAGGCTATTTTTGTGCTCATTCAAAAAGAAAAACTCATCACTTCAGTATCCCAAAATATAGACATTAAGAACATAGACCAATATAAATAATAGTGCTGCTTTTATTAATCAATTCATTCTCAAATATTTGGCCTAAATTAATTGCCAACTATTTTGCCTGATAAATTAGTATATGTAATTTTCTTTGAGAAAATCAAAGATGATCTGATTCCAGCCTCTTTAGTTCGAATATGATCTGGTTTCTTTACCCCTGTTGTGAACAAAGTATGGCATTTGAGGATGCCACCTTGGGCTTTAGGAAACCGTTTTCTGAAAAAAATAAAATAATATTTTCTCTTGTTTTATTTATTTATTATTTTATTTAAATGTAGTGATAAATGAGAAAATGTTCTTCTCGCAGTCGTAACATTACACACTACGGTACGATGAGTGGTGACATGCCACAACACTTTGGTTTGCAGTCCGCCATTAAAACAAACGAAGAAGAAGAAGAACGCTGGCTCCTTTATTAATCAATTATCCGGACATGTATACTATAGCCAATATTATCTCTCTAAGAATATTGAATGTACTGAATGTGGGCTCATGAAACGTTCGACAAATATGAGTCCATGCACTTAGACAACACAACAGGCTGTTAACTCAACAACAAGAAAGTGAGCTATCAAGTGACATCATCCGTTAGCTTAATTAACTAAGTTATGCTAACACCGTGCGCTAGGTAGCAGTCACGGAAGGTGGACTTTTGGTGAAAGTGGACAACAAAAACTACGCAGCAACACCTCCTCTGTGAAGAAGTATCTGATATGGACATGAATATCAACCAGTTGTCTTCCATGAAGAACCGGAGAATGACCAATATCTCAAAAATGGTGAGTAAATTAACCCTGTGTTTGTTTGGATGCCGAAGTCGTTATTGTTCACCTTTTGCACTGTTGGTGGTTTGTTATTGTGTGTAGTCTATTCGGAAGTTTGGGTAGTGGTTTGTTTCTTTGTTTGTATTGAAATAGATAGTGAGGAAGGAATGCTTCTGCCCTGTCGAGGCTAGTTTGTTTGCATCAGTAGAGTGATATTAGAATGACTTACTGTATGTGATTATTGCACAGCCTTGATGCGGAGGTAGAATTGTTTTAAATGTCGTGTTAACGAACAAAAAACAAACCTAAAAACGCTGTTTTTAATATTATATTAGTTAATTTCAGTTCAACTCCTTCACATTGTTCTGTTGTGGAACTGAACTACAATGGCTGCAAACAACCAACGTTGACTTTTATACAGCTAAATACTCATTGCACCTGTTGACATTAGCCCCACTGGGAATCCTTCCCATTGCTGAATTATAGCTTACATTATATAGCATTTAGGAAATAAGATGTAGTGCTATCTACTTTTAACAGTATCAGCAAAGTGGGAACAATGTTATTTGAATCTGTCAGCATATTGACCACATCATTAAGATGTATGGTTGCTCTGTACCAAAGCACTTGTGTGATGCCTGGATTTGTGCTTGAAGGTTTTGTTACACATTTGAAAGAGTTTTGGAAATCTAATCAGCCGAAGTCATGGCCAAGGTTTATTTGGTTCAACAAGGAATTCGTGAGTTGAAATCAGTTTGGTGAGTTTGTTCATCTTCTTGTCAGCAGTATTTGCATGGAAACTTCATGTAGCATGTATTATGGAATAACCTGTTTCATTTCCAGCAGACAAATGCACTATTTTTACCTTATGTAAAACAATGGCATGGCAGAAAGTACAGTGTACCATACTTGCCCTTAATTCACGTTTTATTCGAAGTAATTTGGTCACCGGTAATTGATAGTTAGTGACACAACTGCCCAAATGTGCATGTAGCGTTAGCGTAGTGTGTTTTTCACCTAGCTCTAATGACCACAGTGTGATTGTGATTGTGAAGCAGCCAAAGGGGCTAACAAGCTTGTGTGTCAGATAACTATTAATAATGTTGGCCATGTTGGGATGATTTGTTCGTGGCTTCACCTTGTGAGTGTGCTCCAGGGGCGCCTGGCCTCATATCCGGTGTGTTGATTCTTGTTTATTGAGTCTTATGATAATGATTTTATTCTTGCTGCTGCCAGTTGTGACGCACCAAATCATTCTAATGGCATGTGTCCATGTTCCCTTGCTGTTTGAAATATGTGTTCAAGGGCAGAGTCTGAATATTTTGGAGATACCTTAAACCACCATCTAAGGTTTGAGTTAGTGCAGTATGTTGGAATACATACCACGAGGACAACAGGTGTTCCTCTCTGATGTGATCATGGTAGATAGCACTTAAAGCATAAAGCAATAGTTCGACATTTTGTGAAAGCAGCAAGAGGTGACATCTTGAATTATCTGCTGGTTGCCTGGCAACCTTAAAGTGAAGAAGAGGGATGTCCCTGCACATTGCCAAGAAATACTGATACAGCATTGCACATTTTGACAAAATCAATAACCCATACGTAAATCAGTCAGCGTATCGTTTTAAACAAAGACAACCAAAAATGTTCATGGTATGATATTGTTCTGGTAATTTAATAAATGTCCTACTGTAAATAGTCCTTATGAAACATAACAGTTTTGAGTGAAACTATAGAAAAAATAAATAACATCAAGGCAGAAATGATCATGACATGATTAAATAATCTATGTCCTGTTGCTTTACTTTTTACCTTGCAGATGTTAACAGTGATTATTTACACAACACTTAAATCCCCTTGTGGAGTGTTGGAGGTAGAAGTAGAGGGTCATGTTATTGCTGTTTTAGAAATGCTCATTGATGTCATGATTAGATTTGTTGTCAGAAAATGCCACGAAACATTTTACAACAATTAGTAGCTCAGTTTATTTGTTTAATTTTATATTGCTCTACAGTGCATGACATTAAGGATTTTGGGAGATGGCTCTGTGGGCCATCTAAGCTAATTTACAGATGGCCCTGAGCCCAATAGAGATTGCCCTGAAAAATGCACGCGGACGAAATGACGTACGAAGGGTTTGGGGGGCCTCCCCCTAGAACATTTAGATTGTTGCAGGTCTTAAATGCTGTCTGGTGCATTCTCTAGACTGAATTATAAGATGAACCACCACAATATTATATTGTTCAATTTCTTCATTTCACTTGTTTGTTTGTTCTTGTTTGTGTTTGCTCCTTGCATGCCCTGCATAGCTATAAGAAATATTTAAGTTGTTGGTCAAGACACTTTCCATCTGATGAAGGCAAATGCCTTCCCAGATGTAAAAGAGTAGAAAACATTACATACAGTTATAACTGCCAAAACAAACATTATTTACACTATTATGGCCCCTGTTAAAAATGTTTGTAATGTTGTCTACTGTAAGTTGGTCGAACGAATGCCTCCTCATCCGGAAGCTGACCGAGCAGACCCGAGCAGCAGTCGAGAGGAGCCGAGCGCATCCGCCAAGCACACAAAATGGCGACGTCAGAGTTCCCGTTAGCCGGCAAATCTAAATGTCTTCGGTCAAAGCGTCCGGTCAAAATAATTTCCCTTTAGCGCAATACCGCTACAGTTGCGCCACTTATGTGACAGACAAGAAGCTTATGTGACAGACAAGAATAGTCAATTATAATGTCTAACACTTAATGTGGAGAAAGAGATGTCCTGTATGGGTTGATTGTGCGTTGATCTGTTGGTAATGCCTCGAGGTTCCGGTGGGCATGTAAACAAATGCATAATGCTGCGCTATACTTTGTGGCCTCACACAGTTGCATAGCGACGCTTATTGTTTAGGTGTCTTTTAATAAGCAGGTAGTCATATCATTATCTAGAACTAGCTGGATCTGATCGATATGGACATAAACGTGAGTAAAGTCTAATCTGACGGGAGAGAGAGATCAGCTGAGCAGGCTGACGAGTCGACACGGAGCTCTGCATAATCACCTGCAGCGGTGAGCGGACAAAACACACACTTCAGGTTAGAATATCACACGTAGCTATTTTAATGACC